CCTTTAAATTCTAAACAAAATACTATAACTCCCATTCCTGTAAAAATTACGGTTCAAAAGTTAAGTTATTGTAACTTGTGTTATTTTCCCCATGAAAAAACAAAAATGGATATTAAAAAACCGTTTTGGATTGAATTATTACCTTCGTGGTCCTTAAAGTTCTAAACAATTTAGTGGAACCCCCCAATATATTGGTGTAAAAATTACGATTCAAAAGTTAATGCGACTTTTGTAGTTTAACCTAATAAATTATCATAGTTACTACATAGTTACTAAATACCGATTAAATATCATTATTACTCTAATCGGATATCAATGATAAGCTAAAGGGAGATAGTAATATGTCAGGTTGCTGATTCAATAATGTAACTAAAGTGCACATTATTTTCTGTATAGGAATGATTCGTCCGACTACATCCTTGACACTAACTGTGTAACTGTACTGATCATTTTGCACTTATTCTTTGGCAACAAGTTTTCCACTTGTTGCTCTAAATTAGTGAGGAGCAACATTTAGTTGTAAACTTTTGGTTTTAAACTTTTGGTTGTAAATTTTTGGTTGCCAACTTTAGTGTAAACGCGGTTTTAGGCTATAACGCAAATTTCAGGGTGAAAATGGCGTTTGCCCCAAAAGTGCCAGGGGAAAAATTGCTTAAGTTAGAGCTTCCTAAGTCAATTCAGCCAATTAAACAAAATTTTTTTAAACATTGCACGAGTTAAGTTAATAACTAACTCTTAAGTTTATAACTAGGCTACCAAACATTGCAAAATGTCCTAGCCTATTCTAGGTTTTGTTATTAAGAGTAATTACAGAGCCATACACTTCCGAATAGGCTAGAGGGTGAAATTAAAGCAAACCTGCCGAACCTGCGTACTCAGCCGATTCCCAAGAGATTTTGACCAGGAAAGATTCTCTAAGGTCTGATGCTGCAGCTGATCTGATGACGACACTGACACTCATAACAGAACTGTGCCTAGTGTACCTGTGCCCTGTGCCACTGAGCCAGACGAACGAAGAAAAGGAACAGGGTGATCCGGGATCTCCGAGGGACAAAAGTTTTAATTTTCAATTTCAAGTGTTCACAATCCGTCCATTGATCCGGTTGAAATCGAAATAGAATTGAACGAACCCTTTGCGAGTTACATCTTCCCTCAACGATATCGATATCGAACAGTCCAAATGAAAGAAAACATCTGAGTTGCACCTGTTTTGTTTGTTTCTGTAGTTATTTATTTATTTACTAGCAGAGTACCCGTCCTTCGTACGGGGTTGGCCTATAAGTATAAAAATGCTTATTGCATTTATGGGAGAGGACACTGTTTAAGAAAATTTTGTCTTTTAATTTATACGGTATCCTATAGTGTAGCACACATCTACCATAGCCCTAATGTTCTACCACTGCACCTAAACCATGGAAAAAGTAAATACTCATTGTGTACCACAACTTTTTGTTGCTAGTTGGTTCAAATTAGCTGTGATCGTAAATGCAAAAAAACACATAACAGTGGTGCACCCTGTTGGTAAGCCTTGTAGTTTTTTAACGCTATTTAATAAATATCATAGAACCAACTTGTGCAGTTGAAACGGCTGACCATATGGGTACACTTCCATATCTGTTGGCACCTAGGAGGATTAGTTGACACAAACAACCAAATGAGTTATATTGATTATTCGATTGTTTAATTCTATATATCGATCGATATTTTCATTCGGTTGTTTTTGCCAACAGATATGGACGTGTACCCGACAAGATTCATTAATTTCTTTAAATATGAATATTCATAAGGTTAACATGAGAAAGTTTCAGAGAAACTCCAGATCCAGAGCCACTGGGGCGGAGCCTGGAAGGATTTTTGAGGTAAAAATATGTCTATATGTTAATGGGGACTGTCAGCTATCATCATACCAAATTTTTAATCTTGTCGGTTTAGTATTTTTTGCGTTTACTTGTCACAAACATCCATCCATCCATCCATGCATCCAAACTTTCTTACTTATAATATTAGTAGGATAAGTAAACTGTTGTAATATTGCATGTTTATGGATAGATTTTTATCAAACTTGGCAAATTTATTTATTTCATAGTAAGCTAATAATATTTCCCTAAAAATCACACTTCGTTACCTTCCCTGTAGGAAGCAAACCTAGGTACCAGGCAGCACAGAGGTATCTATAGAATATCTTATAAACATTTCGCTTGCATATTTAAGATATCCAACACGATTTAAGATATCTATAGATGATCGATATACAGATATTTATATTTGTTAGATATTGTGAAGAGGTTTTAATGTCACTAATTTCAACTTTCAACAGATATTAGATTTACAATATCTTAAGAACTTATAAAACTGAATACTATACGGATATCTGCTGACAGATCACAATATATAATTACATAAATTATAAAATAATAAAGATATATTCTGAAAAGCACATTTATCAGTTGAGTATTTTGAAAATGAAGATAAAAAGCCTTTGCTGACCAAGGCGGTAGCCAGGACAAACTTTCGGAGGGGGTCAGGTCAGTGGCGGTTCTAGGACCTTGTCAAGGGGGGCTCCCGGTGGGCTTGGGGGGGGGGGGGTGTGGAACAACCCCCAATATAAGACGGGGGTCCTCCCCCGGAAAATTGTTATATTTTTTAAGTAGTTTAGTGACTCTCTAAAGCAATCTTTAATGCCTAAAACTGTCTCCAATCGCAAAAAAAACTCTTATTTAACCTGTTGTTTTTCATAAGCAAATAGACATTTACAAATTTAAACTATCACAATTGCATTCATAAATTTGTAACCATACTGTAGTCTACGGCCATATCCTTCTAAAACCCGTTTGGTACTTTCTTTAGCCCCTGTAGCCCCCCCCCCCTTGGAACCACCACTACGGGTCAGTGAATGTGGATAACAGATTTAAGCACTTTCATTCAAACAACAATTCCCATGCTTATTTCTAAAATGTTAATATAGTTACATATGTAAAATATTACAGGATGATGAATCTGTTTTGTTTAATCAAAGTATTTTTGTTGAACCTTCATAGTTTTATTACCTCTTTAATAGATCGTATTTATTAATAGAATTATTATATGAAATATGAATAGTTACTGCAAAACATAATACAAAATTAAATATAATCTCCTGTTGTGGTTTCTAGTTTATAATTTAATTGCACTTTTTTAAACCTAGTGTTAATTTTTAATACTAAATTTCGGGATTTCGGGGGCGGGTTTTCTACGGCATTGTTGCTGGCACTACTTAAATATTCACGATAATTTTTAAGCTAGCCCCTAGAGATTCAAAAGTTGGTATTCCTGTTTTCAACTAGATTCAACTGTCATTCGGCTCGGCTGTTCTGTTCCAATAAGCGGACCCTTCCCCTTTCTGTTTTGCACTTTAGGAATTTTGCCGATTAGGCACTGTAAAACAAAATCGATATTAGGCACTGTGAGACAGTTTCACTTTGATATTATGCACTATAAGATGTTTTCGCTTTTAGGCACTGTGAGAATATTTTGAATTAGGTACTGTGAGATTGTGCGCTATGACATGCCACCGGAATTTTACCAGTATCGGTACGGTTAGGATTCACTTACACTACAAATCAAAGACACAATGAGCCTCCAAATATGTAATTCTTAAAAGTCATGGCTCACTTACTCTACAGATCATAGTCTATACTAGCCTCGTAAATAATATTGAAGGTTCACTTACTCTACAGATCATAGTGCCTATGAGCCAAGCGTATGAATTATTTTTAATTCAGGAATATAGACGGCTCACTTACACTACAGTTCATTTAGCTACACGTCACGCGGTTTGCAGCGCATCGTTGCAGGCGTTTATGGTAAACCAATAGAGTAGTAAGTAAAAGTAAAGATTCAACAAATAGGCTACGTATATTTGTATTTTTTAAATAGTTTATCCGTCCATTTTGTAACAAACTTAATTATTCATAGTACAATGCTTAAATAACAATTACCAGATGATGTTTGTCTTATCTGGATCATACAAGTGTGTATTATATAACCTGATATTACTCAAAATGTGTTTTATTCTATAATGTTTCGTTAAATTTAACATGAAAATCACGCTCCCTCCATTTTTAAAAGTATTCAGTACAAAAATGTAATAAATTTGCTTGCACGTAGGCCTAAATATTTATTTCGTGATGATAATTGAGGTGATGCAATACACTTATGTAATCAGTCGCAGCCGTTATAAGTGAGCCATCTAATATTTTGCCGCAGGCTTCTGGCTCATGGTCACTATGATCTGTATAGTCAGTGAACCCTCTTCATTTATTTTATTTTTTCGATGTAGTGCAAGTGAACCTTCTATACTATTTATAATATTGTTTACAAAGCTTGTATAGCATGGTGGAAGGGAAAAAAATGTTTTTTCCTACAGTTACCTAACAATGTACATGTTCTCTCACTGATTTGAGAAAGCAAAGTGGCCAATTCGCTCATCAGTGAGACAATGTTAACATTGTCTCACTCTAATTACTTTGTCTCACACCAGATTTGCATCGTGAAGGCACGAAATAGTGAGCGCGTAACATGCTGTCAACGTCGTATGCGCGCGAAATACGTTGGCAGCACTGACTGTAAATCAGCTGGTCAGCTGTTGTACTGTTGTATTTGTCACTTCGCATTAAATGTTATGTTAAAAGTTCACTTCTGTGTAAAAATAGGTTATGTTTCTTCACAAATTTATTTGTTTTATGGTAACTGTAGGAAAAGTATAATGTGCAACTCGAGTTCAAAGTACAATTGCCTCACTCGAGAAACCATTCCTCACTCGCCTACGGCTCGTGAGTAAGGATTTCTCTCGAGTGAGTCAATTGCTCACTTTTCTCACTAGTTGCACAAATAACTATTTCCTTCCACCATGCTCGTATAGACTATTATCTGTAGAGTAAGTGAGCTGTCCCCATCGTTACTCGTTAGCCTTTCCTTTGCTTTCTGCTTTGGTCTTTTTTCTGAATTTGCAAACAAATTAAAGATGGCGTCAGGTGAGTAAGATTTCTCTTACATGTTTCTGTAATTTTTATTTATAAATTTATTTGACTAATAAGTGCTTTGTTATGCTTTCAGATGTATTTACCAAACACTCATGCACTTATTGTCAAGATGAAATTAAATCACTGCGCATAAAGTGCACTGAGTGTCCATCATTTGAGCTCTGCTTGCAGGTTGGTGTACTATTTTACCCCTTCCTCTGTATATTAATGAGTATTGAGAGGGATATTTGAAATTGTTAAACTTTATGCCAAAATTAAAATACTTGATGCTTCTGTTAGGTTTTAATTGCAGTTTAATATATGTTACTATCAAGTACTTGTTTAAGCTGTTCACAGTGGATTGTCAACACTTATTTAAGTTAAATGTTTTTTATCAGAATTTATTTTACAATAAGAATATACCTAATAACAATAAGTAAACCGTAAAAAAGTGGTAGGAAGCAAGCACCTGTTCATCAACAAGTCTTGCCAAAAATTTTATCGATATATCGATCGATATTTTCATTCGAATGAGTGTAGGACGTCAAGTAAAGTGCAGCCACAGCAAGACTGTTTGGATGATATCCTAATTTTTATTGGTACTTTTTGCTATGGTCTGTAATTTCTTCTTTCACTGATTTAATCTTGATGTCATTCCTAATTGTAGTGTTAGATACGAACCCCGGTGCACCAATAATTCTTCTCAGTGTCTTAGCTTGAATCGTTCAAGAATTTCGATGTTGGATTTGCTCAAGGTCCCCCTAAGTTGAATGCTGTATGTCCAAATTGGTTCGATCATAACTTTAACTTATATAGTAACATTTTGTTAGCTAATGATAACTTAGAATTCGTAACTTACCTAAATGTAGTAGCCAATAAAGTTTTTGAATTTTTAATTCCATTTGCTGTCTCTTGCACCAGATATGAGATTTCCAATTTATTTTTTGTCAACTTAGACCTAAATATTTTACTCTGTCTGCCTCCGTTATAGCTACATTATTAATGGATACTGGAGGATTGTACTCTGTTCTCAGAGTAAAAACATTATGTTTGGTCTTGGTTTTGTTGACTTTTATCCTCCACTTTTTTAGACAAAGACAAAATATTAGATCTCATTCAAGGTAGCTTGCAGATTAATGGAAGCGACTTGAGGGTCCACATGACTTGACAACAGTGCGGTGTCATCAGCAAATGTAGCAACTGTGAAGTTTTAGCGAATTTCCCATATAGGGAATAAGCTATTACCGTAGTACTCATGGTAAGACCTGTACCCAGGACCGATTTTTTTTTCGTTTTGAGGTCCCTAGAGGCCAAAAACACCATCCGTTCAAATTCATATATATATATATATTTATATATATATATTTTATGTGTCCGTTAGCGCGATAACTTGAGCAAATACCCCCGCCGCAGCAAACCTGCAGACTAAGCGAATTTCCATTTGCCTGATTAGGTTTACACTAAAATGTCTCCTTAAAAATATCACTTTTATTCCCTATTTAAATAGAATCAGTTTAACACATACGTAGGTTTGCTGCAACAGGGAGGGTAAAACTGTTTTTTATGTAAAATGTTAATAGTTAGTAAGAAATAAAAACATTTTCCAAATTTGGGCAAAATATGTTAATAAACAAGCAAATTACAACAGTTTACTTATTCTCCATAAGAATAACATGGGAATTTTAAATTAAAAATTTTTTGGAATTTTCTCCGTAACCATTAGGCGCATTATAACGCTTCAATATACTAAATTATTTGTTTTTTTAAGCTCTACAAAATAGTTTGGAAAGAAATTGCAAAATCTTATGTTTTTTGGGTCAAAAATTGGAAAAACCCATTTTTACCCCATAAAAGCCCCCATAAACCCCCGTTCCTATGGTCCGATCATGCTGGTTTGCGAACTCGTTCGAATAAACGTAGGTTTACACGTTTGCACCGAATTTCATCAAAATCGGATCATTTTTGCTCGAGTTATCGCGCTAACGGACACATATATATATATATATATATATATATAAATATATATATATATATATATATAAATATATATATATATATATATAAATATATTTATATATATATATATATACCATAAATATATATATATATATGAATTTGAACGGATGGTGTTTTTGGCCTCTAGGGACCTCAAAACGAAAAAAAAAATCGGTCCCGGGTCCAGGTCTTACCATGAGTACTACGGTAATAGCTTATTCCCTATATGGGAAATTCGCTAAAATTATCCGATTTTGATGAAATTTGGTACAAACGTGTAAACCTACGTTTATTCGAACGAGTTCGCAAACCAGCATGATCGGACCATGGGAACGGGGGTTTATGGGGGCTTTTATGGGGCAAAAATGGGTTTTTCCCATTTTTTACCCAAAAAACATAAAATTTTGCAATTTCTTTCTAAACCATTTTGTAGAGCTTAAAAAAACAAATAATTTAGTAGCCTATATTGAATTGTTATAATGCACCTAATGGTTACAGAGAAAATTCAAAAAAATTGTAAATTTAAAATTCCCATGTTATTCTTATGGAGAATAAGTAAACTGTTGTAGTTTGCTTGTTTATTAACAGCCCATATTTTGCCCAAATTTGGAAAATGTTTTTATTTCTTACCAACTATTAACATTTCACATAAAAAACACTTTTACCCTCCCTGTTGCAGCAAACCTAAGTATGTTTTAAACTGATTCTATTTAAATATGGAATAAATGTGATATTTTTAAGGAGACCTTTTTGTGTAAATCCATTCAGGGAAATGGAAATTCGCTTAGTCTGCAGGTTTGCTGCGGCGGGGGTATTTTTTATTTTTTCACTGTTGGTTGTCAAGGCAGAAATCTTCTTAAACTGTTATCTTCAGCCATAGATAAAACATAGTCCCTTAGTAGATTTCCCATCCTCATAGAACAGCTGAAGCCAATTTTACTGTTAGCTCAATGGTTTTCCGTAGCTGTCGTGTTTTTTTACAATTTGTTTCTTGTTATTTCAGTAATTTAAAACCTCTGTATTTCTGAACTTTCTAGACTTTTCTTTAAAACGTTTTTAAACCATTCCTAAGATCTTAATAAACAAGAAAATACCTTTAAAACATTTTTTTAAGGCGCGGAATTCACTGCAAATTGCAAAAATATACGGAACTACTTCCTCAATGCGCGAAGCATATCACACGTCAAGAAACAAGGAGCGGAGTGATACGGTGACTACTTACTCTTCGGCACCTATTTGTGTTGCCAGCTGATTGGAAATAAGGATTTAATAAGCGATATATCGAACCGCATCGAAATCGATAGGCCTATATAATCCGATAATACCTCACAGGTTATATGTTAAATTATATCGACAGTACAGTAAGTTATTACACTTATCAATAAAACGCAGATTGGGGGAAGGTAGGTCGGGGCTTATGAGTATTCAATGGCTCCATTAAGTGTTTGCTTGGATTTTTGAAATCGTTTCCCCTTTAAACCAACTATTCCAAAAGATAAAAAACAATATGGTGTAACACAAATAAACGACTCGTTTTCCTAAAATCACACTTTAACTTAGGCTACCTAATCTAACCTTACTTCAAAACACTTAATAGAGCTACGAATATTCATAAACCACGGCCTGCCTTCCCTACATGCCTTTTCTGCTGTGAAACCTTATGTTCCCCTCAAGAGTTTAATGGCAAGAGTTTGCGAACATTTTACAAACACAAAAACAAATGAGTAGGCTTAGCCTAATGCTTAAGACGTCCGTTTTTTCCGGTCACCCTACATTTGACTATTTAGTTCAGTGATGGTTGAAGTGTCCAATTGAGATTGATTACCACTTAAGTTACCATCTTTTGTACCATTTACTGTCCTGTAGCCTATAGCTCGTGACACGTAAGCTGGCACGACCGATCGCTACTAGCCTAGTTCAAAAACATTATGTGCCGTCATGCGAGTTGTGCCAAACTGTCCTCGCTACCCACGTGAAGGAGCTCAAGGACACAAAACTCAGGGTGTACACCCCATGAGTCAGCAGAAATGTTTGCAGTCCAGTCTTTACCTTACCTCCACCTTCCCCAGCCTACACTGCCAGCTTACGTGTCGCAAGCTGTAAGTAAACAGTATAAATGTAAATATATGTGTCAAGAGTTATTAACTTTTTTATTTACTTTCCAGAAGTAAAATTCCTCAAAATAAAAGCAAAATAAATAAAAATATAGGTTTTGTAATCCCGTTAATCCCAGGATTAAAATAAGCTAATCCCAGAATTTCTAGGTATCACAAACCGACCGGGATTCGGGATCCCGTGATTGAGACCTCTATTAGGCTACTTCTTGTCTTTGGAGTCAATAGGCCTACCAATGATTACAGAATCCACCGCAACTGCAACAACAAAATGATCGATCATCAACTGTTTGATAATTTATAACTTATAGCAAGCTAATTCAATACATTAATATCTGTTATCAATTATTTTGTTTTTAGTGCTTTTCTGCGGGATGTGAAATAGGTTGTCACAAAAAAGATCACTCCTACGAAATTGTTGTAAGTATTAAGTTTAGTATTTAGTTGCTTTTGGCCTACAATTTATTTCCTTAATCTTGGGCTGATTTCTGTGCTTCAAATCGTAACCATGTCTAGGGGTGTGCGATGCATCGAAATTCCGATTAGATTTGATTCAGTGGTGGTCAAAAAACTATTCAATTCATGATGGAGTCAGTATCCATCTAGGAGGATTAATTATTAGGAGATTGCAAGCGAATAGGAATATACGTGTTGCGGTGAAGCCAGCTTGAGCAGAACACTAGAGGGGCACGTGGAGCTGTAGAGTGGCAAAAAGCCGCAACTATAACATCGGAGATAGGGAAAAATGCGACGCGCCCCGTTTCAAATTAAAATTGCCGCTAAACTAAAACACCTGTGTTATTCACCGATGGCATTCTTAAAGTAAATTAAATTTCCTATCGAATGGTGTAAATCATTTCTATAAAAACTAATATACAGGGTGGTAAAAAAGTCCCTGGACAGTTCAATATTTTAAAAAATATTGTAGATAGAGCTACAATACTTAGTACAAAGTTACGGGGCATAAAACTCTATTTTAACACATATTTAGTGATCCAATAACTCTTCAGGGGGACGGCCCTCAAGGAGTCGGAAGAAAATCTTAAATAGAAGCATAGGTCAATATGCACATCAAATTAAAGGTCTTTTTTAGTAGAATACAATGCCGCAAACCGCACTTCAAAAGGTTGATCCTGCGCAAAATGGCAGATGTTCAAAGATTTCTTGAATCCGCCATTTTGAATCTTTGAACGACTGCCATTTTTTACTCAGGCATTCTTTTGAGCTTGAATTTACGGCATCGTAATCTACAAGTGAAGACCTTTAATTTGATGTGCATATCGACCTATTCTTACGTTAACAATTTTCTTCCGATTCCTAGGGCTGTGCCCCCTGAGGAGAAAGCGTATAATAGCGATGTTAATTAAATGAATCTTTGAACAACTGTCATTTTGCGCAGGATCAACCTTATGAAGTGTGGTTTGCGGCATTGTATTCTACTAAAAAAGACCTTTAATTTGATGTGCATATTGACCTATGCTTCTATTTAAGATTTTCTTCCGACTCCTTGAGGGCCGTCCCCCTGAAGAGTTATTGGATCACTGAATATGTGTTAAAATAGAGTTTTATGCCCTGTAACTTTGTACTAAGTATTGTAGCTCTATCTACATTATTTTTTAAAATATTGAACTGTCCAGGGACTTTTTTACCACCCTGTATATTATTTGCTTTTGAAGATCAAAGTTGAATGAATTGTCTGGACTTTTGAACATATGATTACCTTAATTACGATTTTGAAATAAACATGATGTTTCTACATAAATAATTTATTTATTCGTGTTCCCTAAGAGTTTCTCGAAATAAAAATAATATACTTACCAATATTTCACTGGAGTATTAAAAAAAGAACCGTATTAACATTTTTTCATTTTTACAGTTTTTGAAACAAGCTTATTAATTTGACGTTTTAAATCAAAAATACAATTTTGATGATACAGTAGAACCTTGATAACAAGACTCTCATGGGGATTATAAAATTAAGTCCCTGGTTATCAAGGTTGACTTCTTATCAGGGTTTGCAATAACATGTGTTTAGAGGTAAAATAAATTCAAGGGGATTTGAAAAATACACTTGTTATCAAGAGTGACTTGTTATCGAGGGTCTTCTTATCGAGATTCCACTGTAATATAAATATTAAATTAGCATTCCTAATTATTTACTCAAATTTATTGAATTTCCCTATAGGGAAGTAGCTATTACCGTAGGTCTCATGGTAAGACCTAGGCCCGGGACCGATTTACTTTTTATTTTGATGTCCCCAGAGGCCAAAAACACCATTCGTTCAAATTTATATATATATATATATATATATATATATATCAAATTTATATATATAAAATATGTGTCCATCCGCACAATAACTTGAGTAATTTTTTTCCGATTTTGATGAAATTAGGTTAGGTTAGGTTTGAAGATGTAAGGCGGGATAAACTTGAATGAGTTCGCGAACCAGCATGATCGGACCATGGGAACGGGGTTTAACGGGGGGTTTTATTGTGTAAAAATGGGTTTTTCTAATTTTTTACCCTTAACCCTCCAAGTGTCCATAGTATTGGTCTTAATGTCCGCCCATTTATTGCGCAATCGCAGAGTTTTATTAAAATGTATCTTAGAAACTTAAAAACAATGTAAAGTATACTGTTTTATGTATCATTTTGTTTGGAAAATTATGGGCATCGTAACATATAAAACATTACAAAAAAAATGTTCAACAATTTTTGTGGGGTTAACATTTCTCAAAAATTATAAAATAAATGAAAAAAAATTATGTTTGCGCTCAATAAATTGTTATAATTTATAGGTCTACAAATATTTTAAAATAGCCACTTTGTTTTATAACATTTTATGGGGATTCCAAAAATATAATAATATAAGGAAGTAGGTTTGCAAATAAATAAGTTATGGGCAAAAAACATATTTCGTACATAGCGTTTAGCTAAGAATGCATAGCCTAACCATAGCTAGGAATCTGGCTGATAATTTACATCAATATCACTACCTACTTCTTCAGGATCATCATCCAGCCCTTCAAAATTACTTAAATCTTCTTATAATACACCACGTATATCACTACTTTTGATTTTTAACACTAAAACAATGATAAACGTAATAAAACACATCAGTAATCGGTGCGAGGTTAACCAAGTTGTTTACAAATACGCACGTCAGCTGTCTGCTACAATATTTTCGGAACTGAAATGAAAAGCGTCTAGAAACAGACATCAGGAGAAAGCTCAGAATCTGCCGAAAACAACGATACCAATTTTCGATCCAGTTCAATCTGATTCAGTCAGTCCCAGAGCCTTCGCCGTAAACGATGTTTGTGTGTCGCAAAAGCGACGCATAACACCACAGCGGGTGTGTTGTGCGTCGATTAAGCGACGCTTAACATTCGGAGGGTTAAAACACAAAATTTATCAATTTTTCTCCAGACCTTTTTAAAGAGCTTAAAAAAACAAATAATTTAGTATATGATAGTGTTTTTGTACGGCGATTGGTTATGGAGAAAATTCAATAAAATTTTAATTTAAAATTCCCATGTTATTCTTATGGAGAATATTATAATATGTTGTAGTTGGCTTGTTTATGGATATATTTTGATCAAACTTGGCGGATTTATTTATTTCATACTAAGCTATTGATATTTTAATAAAAAACACACTTTATTAGTTTTCCTGTAGCAGCTAACTTAGGTACTCGTTACAGAAATGTTAATTTAAAAGATTAATTGAAAATCAATCCAGGCAAATGGAAATTCGCTTAGTCAGCAGGTTTGCTGCAGGGGGGGGTATTTAATACCATTTAATGCTAGTTTTAAGGCATTTTTATGCTAGGCAGGTAATTTGAGATAGCCGAAGTCAAGAAAAAATTCAATGCGGTGTTCGCACAGCCATTCCAATTAAATTACAAACAAAAAAATTAAAACATTTTCTTGGCCATTAAATTTTTGATTTTTTTAATGTCATGTTAAGCCATATTTTGAGAGCTTGATGATAAGAAATAACAAATAAACTTTGAGTAAAAAGTGAAATCTTTAAGTTCTCGCATCTTCTGGATTCTAATTTAATATATTAATTTTGATCGCATGATATAGTCATAAATAAATCTTTTAGGTACTTGACTGTTATTTCAGTAACTAAATCTCTAATATGACATTCTTAACGGTCCTAAATAATTTTTTGGTGTGTTCGTTATTACGTATGTTTCTGAACACAATGCCTCCCCTCTCGCCGCGGTACGGCGCGCGGTCGGACTGGCTTCAACGAAACTCGAGCGCGTCCTCTCCTTAATGTTTCATCCTCCTAGGTATCCATATACGAAAAACGCCTGCAGAAAGTCAATGTGACAATAGTGCAATACAGGAGCGCGATGTTGTTGCGTTTCCTTTGCAAAGAGTTTTTTTATTCTTTGCATGTAAATATTGCTTTAATTGTTTAATAATTTTTTTTTACATTGCAAATTATGAAAAGTTATATGTTAAGTGAGAAATATTTTACTGCTGTAAACATAACCAAAAGAAGTCACTTTAAAATCATTCTAAAAGTTAACCCAAGTCTAAAAAATTACTGATGTTTTAGACTGATAAATTTGGTATTTTTGTAGGTCTGAAGCGATGTAGCCTACACCTTGAATTTTGAAGGTCTGATTATATTCTCTCTTTTTATCAATAAACCAATTGAAAGTTTCAGTACCTATAAATCATAGAAATGTTTTTATTTGTTTACACCAAAATAAATCTTTATTTGTAAAATCAATATTATAAAATAGGTAAAATGCTTAACAATATGATTCTGTAAGTAAAAATTATGAAATAAGCAGTGTTGGGGAAGCTACTTTTAAAATGTAGCTAGCTACAACTACTGCTACATTTCCAAAAAAGTAGCTTAGCTACAGCTACAGCTACAGTTCCGAAAAAGTAGCTAGCTACAACTACAGCTACAATGAAATGTAGCTACAGCTACAATTTTAGCTACTTTTCCAAAGATGTTACTTTTTATTCCACGCACATTAGGTAAAAGTAAAATTAACTGCAACTAAATTTTTACTGAACAAACATTTAAAAAAATGTCAGTATTGTATCTAACATTACTTGGAAAACAAATTATTCCTAGATTGTATTTAATTTTTTGGCATTATAAATCTAACATTACAACAATAGAACCAAATAGTTGGGTGTCCCATCATATTTAGTACTTATTTTTAAATATTGCATTATTTTTAAGCATCTTAGCCTATACGTAAATTTCATTGAGTTCAAAGGACATAAAACCAAACTATATTTTAAAAGCTCATTTTATTTCTTTAATATAGATTCATTTATAGATGTCTTATATCAACAATTAAGACCAATAAAACTGTAAAACGATTATTTAAAAATACTTTTTTGTGTTACAGAGCCTAGCCTACTAAAATTGGAGTT